AGTCACGGTTGAACCCACATGGTTTGTATATGCCTCTTCATGTTCTTTCTACTCCTTGGGCTAATATATCTATTGACTTTGTATTGGGTTTGTCAAGGACTAAGAGGGGGAGGGATAGTATTTTTGTGGTGGTTGATCGTTTTTCTAAGATGACACATTTTATTCCTTGTCATAAGAGCGACGATGCTATTCATATTGCTGACCTTTTCTTTCAAGAAATCATTCGCTTGCATGGTATGCCTTCTACTATTGTTTCAGATCGTGATGCAAAATTCTTGAGTCATTTTTGGCGCACGTTGTGGAATAAATTGGGGACCAAGCTGCTATTTTCTACAACATGTCATCCCCAAACTGATGGACAAACAGAGGTTGTGAATAGAACATTGTCTACCATGTTGAGAGCAATTTTGAAGCACAATTTGAAGATGTGGGAAGAGTATTTGCCACATGTGGAGTTTACATATAACAGGGCGGAACATTCAACCACCAAGGTAAGTCCTTTTCAGGTAGTGTATGGTTTTAACCCCCGTGCTTCTATTGATCTTTTGCCTTTACCTACCACTGAGAGAATACATAGTGATGCTAGAGAGCGTGCTGATTTTTTTTCTAAGTTGCATGAAACAACTAAAGTAAATATTGAAAGAATGAATGAAAAGTATAGAATTGCTGATAGTAAAGGTAGAAAAGAGATTAAACTTGAACCGGGTAATTTGGTTTGGTTACATTTGAGAAAAGATAGATTTCCTGAGCTGTGTAAGTCTAAATTAATGCCAAGAGCAGCTGGTCCTTATAAGATTATTGAGAAAATAAATGATAATGCATACAAACTTGAGTTACCACCCGAGTTCGGGGTTAGTCCCACATTTAACATTGTAGATTTGAAACCTTATTTGGGAGAAGAAGATGAGCTTGAGTCGAGGATGACTCCAATTCAAGAGGGGGAGGATGATGAGGAAATCACTCCTTCGGATGTACCAGCTGATCCTCCAACTGTCATGCAAGGTCCAATGACCCGGGCTCAAATGCGTCAACTCAATTTAGAGGTGAGCTCGTTCTTAAGCAATCATTTTCATACTTTTGAGAATAGACTACTACCTAATGATGTTATCTTGCTTAGGAACATTGGAGAGGGTCAAGAGGGACTAAGAGGACGTGGAGGAGGTGATGATGACCAGCAATGACGTCCAACATGAACCGGAGGCCTAGTCCAACATGATTTCGAGTCTGCCTCGGCCTCCAGGACCAGTCTGCCTTAAACTGGTCACCCAAGACGCATCCGGACTCCGTTTTCGACGATCCACATATGGATGGAAAGCTTATTTGATAAGGAAGCCAACCCAAGTTGTCTCACATCAAAAGCTCTTCGGAATCAACGGGAATCGTCGAAACAAATCAGCATCCAGAATCTATCAGGGTGCTGCGACACCGTCTTTTGGTCCGTTGGACCGTGTATCATGTTTGGGCCCATTAGATGGCGCGTCCAGGGTAGGTGACAACCCTAAGACCTTTATAATCATACGCCGCCGCCGTCGTTAGGTTTTGGGTTTTGCTTAGATTATTCTGTCAAGAACAGTTTCGCCGTTCATCGGTTTGTGAGACCCCAACTTGTGAGATTAATCATACATCTGTAATTTGGTTGTGTTCTTTCTTGTTCTTGCTTGTGTTCTTCGTTGTGCGAGCAGGGATTAGCCTTCTTGGCTAGGTCAACCTGGTTCGTGACTCGGTTGGTAACCAGAGGAGTTGTGGTGCTAAGATTGTAGGGTTCGATCTTTCAATCTGAAGCTGGATCGGTGTGTCATTCTCCGCCACAACGATAGTTACCAGTACCTGACGGAAGATCGGGATCCCCGTCCCCATTAGCGGTGCCCCCTCAGATCCGGTCGGCAGGCAAGAGGAGACTCGAGCGAGATATGGGGCGAGCAGATCGAGCGTGATGAGGAGCGAGCAGATCGACAAGGTACGCCCTTTCCTCCTCCCTAGCTCGACAAGGTGCGGCTAGGCCATCGAGCTCCACGGCTCCTGGCAACAGCCTGGCCAAACCCGCTTACTCGGCATCCCCTGGCGGCGGTGCGGCCCCTAATCTAGCTACTTCAACCTTTCCCTCTCCATCGGCATCACAGGGGCGGCTCCCCCTTTAATGGCTCCAGTCGGGCAAGCAGCAACTATAACTCTAGCATGCTCAGCCCACATAACAGTCCATCACGTCCAGTGCTTCTCTTCTCGTCTGACCGTGCAAGTTTTCCCTGCTCTATCAGATTTCTTGTGATTCAATGATTTTTTGCAGCATGTTGATACCCCGCTTGAATGTTGCAGTAGTGCTTCTCTTCTTGAATGTTGAATGTTATAATTTCAATGGTGACGTGAAGTTGCAGCCTCCAAGAGCGACCAAGGATAAGGAGAAGTACCATCGGTGACTACTATACACCGGCCACATAGGTGACGATTACTATAGGGCATATCTTTTGTATTTTCTTGGACAAAGATTAAGGTCTGGCATCGGCAACTTCTCTAATGTGATCGAAGTCTATTAGTGTCCAGATTGCTATCCGGTGGATGCAAAAATCATTTGACACTGTATAGTAAACTGAGAACTAGCTGCTTAGGAAAAACCTTAAAGAGTTCATGACAATTCTGATAGTTCTCTTGATCTATTTATGCTTTCTATCTTTACCACATCGATTCTTCTCTCTCTAAAACATACTTGATTACTCGTAAATTCATGGTTAATGCATTAAGTTTTGGATTGTTATAGGTATGGGCAAGGTTGTCGCTCGGCCCTTACCGAGTCGGTGAGCCTACGACACCGCGCACTCCGTGACGATGTTAATTTTATGAATTTTGCTTTTTGGATTAAATGTCACTTTAACATTTTCACAGTATTGTTATTTTATCGTGTGATCCTTGTGTTTTTAGTACAAAAGTTTTACTGTCCCGTAGCAACGCACGGGCACGCTACCTAGTCTATACCAAACATTAAAAAGCAAAAAAATCTACCTTCTCATCTCTGAGAGATTGTGTTGACTGTTGACAGAGATTTTAGACATAGCATTAACTTGTTTACTATAATACAATACAATTGATAGATACTACATATAAATTCAATATATAAAATGGCTGCTTGGGTGTCTTATGTGTTGCTTTTGCTGCGTCTTTAGCGTTTTGAAATGTTGGCCAGAATCAAAAGGATTTTTCTTCTTTTTTCTAGCCATGTGCTTAATGGAACTCTCGGAGTATGATACGTCCAAATATCTTAGATGTATGATTGGTTTTAATTATATAACTAATTTTGTGTAGCTGGACATCTCGAATCTATTTTCTTAATCATTGGATTGTGCTTGTTAAAGAAAAATTATCGGCTGGACCCTTCTATAACATCCGTTCTATAATGTTTTGAAGAGCTGTCAGTATCTAGCATGCAGAACAAATGTAACAACAGAAAGTGTAAAGAATGTGAGGGGTATTGCATGAACAACTTCAAAACTAGAATTCATGCATGTAGGTGAGACTCTTATGCTTTTCTGCCTACTTTTCTCTAGTTTGTTTTAGAGAGGAATTTTCGTCTTAAAAAGGTCCATTTTATCTCAACCATAACGTGATGATAGTCAACCTTTTTTTTATCTCATGATAGTCAACCTTTAACCTTTTATTTCTGTATAATACCTGACAACCTCATCTGTTTTTTTTCAGAGGCAACCTTTATTTGCTGATTTCATCTAGCGTGACCGGCCATGGGCTTCGAGCCCAACCCGATGATGCCTAGGCCCTCCATGCAAAAGAGACTTTTGTAAAGTTGAGTGAGGAATTTTTCGTTCTATTTTTTTTTACTGTGGGCCTAAATTCTGGCCCAAAATTAACCAGCCTAATAATATATCGAAAATGCTAGGTCAGAGTGTCCGATCCATTGCCATGGGCCGTGACGGTACGAAGGGTCCAACTATCCTGGATGCCTCCTTCAATAGGCTGTTTGATAAAAAAAAAAGTGCCTCCTCCGATTAGACATATGTTGCAAGTGTTTTTTATCCTGATGTTGCACATGTTTCACACATATGTTGCAAGAGTATGTTTGAAATGTTTCAGTTGTTTTATTCTTATGTTGCAATAAGGGTTTTCATGTTGCAAGTTGCAAGTGTTTTACTTGGATGTTGCAAGTGTATATTCTAAATGTTTCATCTACTACAAACTTATGTTACATTCAAGTGTTTCATATTGTAAGCGTTTCGTGTTTTAGAGATATATTCAGAGAGTTATGGGGCACAGCCCGAATGCCAGACGAAGGGGCGCGGTGAGCAGGGGGGCGGCATATGGGGCGCACGACACACCTAGAGTCCCGTGGACGGGGCCTGCTCGTCCTCATCTAGGCTCCTAGGTCCCGCTCGCGCGGAGGGAGGAGGGGTCAGGGGATGGAGTGACAGGCGCAGCAGGGGTGCACGTGCAGGTAGAGGCGAGGCGAGGCGGATGGGAGCTAGGAACGCGTGCGGGGCGGAGCGAGGCAGACGGGGGACGGACATGCGCTTGCAGCAGCGATACGTCACAGCGGCAGGCGCGGGCAGGTGAGCTGAGGCAGCAACATGCACGGGGCGTCTGCACGCGCTTATCTGCTCCGGACGTCCGTGCGCTAGTAATTTGCATAATATATTGAACATATGTCGTGCCAAAACAAAATCAGGTCGCTCTCCTAAGAAAACTATGTTATCCCTCTTCCTAGCATTAATAAATAAAGAAACAAAATGAAGAAGAAACGAAAAATTATGTTATCATGAATCACGTAATCATGCACGGTTTCAGCGGTTTTATCCACGGATCACCTCATGTCATGTATTCTGTCCGGACAAACAATCAACATCTCGTCGCGTCAGAATCAGATGGCATTTTTGGATCCGTGGCGTAACCAATCCCAATAAAAATCGCCGCCTCCAATTCTTCAGCCTCGATCGAGGCTTCTGCAGCCCACTTGTCCACTCCAATTCAAGAGCCGGGGCGGCCGGGCGGGCGGATCGGCCATGGCGCCGCCACGGCAAGGGGAGGAGCAGGATGTCGGGGGCGATTCGGCGGCGGCGCTGCGGGCCCCGGCACACGTGATGGCGCGGGTGTTCTCGCAGCTCGACTGCGTCGACCTCCTCAGCTGCTCCCTCGTCTGCAAGTGAGTTGGCCCCTACCTCGCCTCTCGTTTTCCACCCGCGCGCGCGCGGTGGTCGACGGAATGCCCCCTTGCCGTAGCCTTTTGTCTTGGGTGTCTCAGTGCTGTTGGAACGGTTCATCCTGTAGTAACCTGATTGATCAACTGACCAAACCCATTTACTAATCTTCCTGTTCAACCTACGTCAATGGCTACAGCCTCTTCGATGCTACTGGAGTTGGTATCTTGATTCTGTGGCAACCACCACGAATCAATAATCAGAGCTGGATCATATCATAGTAGATTATATACCTTTCTTCCTTGTGCATGCTAAGTTTTATGCCACACTCCTCTTCTTCTGAATTGGACATGCGTTCACACTCCAATTATGCTTATCCTTCTAGAGACCAGTTGTGAGTTGTTGGGGCCTGAACTGAACCCTTTTTTTCATGTTCAATTCGATTAGCATGACTGTCTTGATTAGCTCTTCTGTTTTTTCACAATTTACTGGCTGCGGTGTACGTTGGTCTAGTATTGGTTCGCTTGGCAAGAGCCAGACCATGGAATGTGTTTTGTTGTTGCCAGAATTAGAAACAGAGTCTCACTCTACAAATACTGCACCAAATCCTGACCTGTTCTATCCCCTTTTCCTGCAAATTAACTAGGGAAATAAATGTTCAGTAGCCTACACTTGTGTTCTCAAACCTGCTCATCATTTTGTCGATCACCAGGCAATGGTACCGCGATTCTGCGGAGCTAAGAGAGGAGTGGAGGATGGAGTACCTGGATGCATGGAACCAGTTCGGATTGTCGGTGACGCTTGAGCCGCAGCCGCTATGCGCTACTTGCGCGATCAGAAGCCTGCGTAGCCTGTGCCCTTGACCTTGGCTTGGCACAATGCTGCTCTCTGCATCCCCGCACCTGTCATTTTGATCAGGCAGGTCGTTGGTGCGCTCATGAGCTGCTTGTATCGAGCTCATCGCTATGTAATTGCATTTTGTAGCTACATGGTGCATACATGTGGGTGTGCTAGTGCAAATGTACATGTTTGTTGGATGATGGGTTGTATACCTGACTTTATATAAGAAACCTTGTATTAGAACTGACTTACTAAAAGCTTGGACAATATCAGTGCAGAGTGCTTTGCTGTAATACGATTTTTCTTTGTCTAAGAGTGCTAGACAACAGATCCAACTACACTGTGTTAACCTGAAAAAGATTTGGTAGAATAGCCTAATTGAGCATCAAAATGTGCCAATACCCCCTATTGCAGTCCTTCAAAATGGAGCTAGCCAAAACACATTCACCCAACAACACACGTGATTCTGAAAATTTTGCACTACGGCAAAACACACAGCAAATTCTGAAAAGTTCCACTTTCAATACTATAAACTGAGTCTGACCCAAAGGATTATCCACGCAGAACATATAACATAGCAGATCGCCAAATAGCTGATAGGTTTGGATACCCAGGCTCACTCACAAGTCGCGACTAAGCTTTTGCAAACCATGCAAGTCTAGCTATATTATAATTAGCAGTTTTATAGCACCATAGAACCGATGCCCTCACCCCTCAGTACTGCTTTGCGAATCAGAATCAATCCTTTTTCTCAGGGTCCTCTTCACTGCAGTTTAGCCTGCAGGAGGCCATCTCTTATCTGCGCCGCGACATCCTTAACAGCTCCAGGACCATGAGGGATGAACACTGAAGAGGACTTGGAGGAGGCCCCAATCTCCTTCATGGTGTCGAAGTACTGGGTGACCAGGACCAGGACCATGTCCATGATGTCCTTGGCAGTGGTGCCTGGAACGTTCTCTGAGAAGGCGAGCACACTGTCCCTCAGCCCGTTCACAATGGCCTGGCGCTGCCTTGCAATACCCACACCAGCCAGGTACTTGGATTCCGCCTCTCCTTCGGCTTTCTTGATCTGGAGTATCTTCTCAGCCTCAGCTTTCTCACTGGCTGCCACCCTCATTCTAGCAGCTGTGCCATACAACCAAAACGGTAGCATGTAAAATTCATCGATATAACTAGTAGATGCTTGTGGCTCAGCAAATGCTGCATTGCCAATTTAATCTGATGCAATACTTATATGAAAGGTATAAAGTACTTGCCTGCATTGATCTCGTTCATTGCTCTCTTGACACGGTCATCAGGCTCAATATCAACAATCAGCGTTTGCACTATCTCATAGCCGTACATAGACATTGCCTACACCACAAACAACCCAGGTCAGTCAAAAGATTATATACATGCTCTAAAGCAAAGTCAACACAACAATTAAACAAACCAAAATGCATGCTCTAAAGCAAATTCAACAGAACAATTAATTAAACAAAAAGCAATGCTTGACACAAACCTTTTCAAGCTCCTCTTCGACTGCTTTCGCGATGTCATTCTTCTGCTCAAATGCATCGTCCAAGTCCAGCTTTGGAACAGTAGCTCTGATGACTGGAATAGGCAATGAATAGCCATGAGAACTGGTTCTTTCAATCTGTGCAGTATAGAAACATAATTTTCTCCCCTAAGGTACAATTATGTCTCTAGATTAGCAAGCATAAAAAACAGTCAATTGGCATACAGTATGCAAGGACTTGAAGAGACCAAATACAGAACAACGGAGACACGAGTACAAGATAGGATGCGTACATGTGACATAATAAACACATAAAGTACGATTTCAAACAGAGGGAACACTTACCATCAAATACATACGACTGAATTTGTTCCCTAGTGTTGCTCAGCTTGTAGAAGGCGTCAGATGCCTTATCAGCAAGAGCGCGATATTGGACAGATGCAACAACAGTGACAAAGACATTGTCCTGAACAAATAAAATCCAGGCAACAGAGTTCAGAAAGGTTCTTTGTTATGCTATAGTTTGGCAGAAATATTCTTCGATCATGGCAATAGCTTCATCAACAAAGCACAAATCAGACATCAAACAGAATGTAATATTGAGAAAACCTTTGTCTTTGTTTCACAGCGGACATCCAGCTGGCGCACACGCAAGGAGAGGTAACCAGCAATCTGCTGCCCTATGCACCAGGGCAGGAAGTGGCAACCAGGCTCCAGGACCTCACTGAACTTGCCGAAGTTTTCTTTGATGGCTACAGTTGATTGATCAACCTGCACTAAACCCAAAGCCTGACCCATGTCTTATCTGCACACAATAAGATGATGTCTGTCATGTATGCTACCAGCGGTCCAATAATGCATAAAGGACAAGAGTGTAATAAAGGCAAGGCCGTTCATTTGTCATCCGAGCATATACTAACTCTAAGAACAAATACTTTATGGATAGCTCAGAGCCTCAAGTACTGAAGGGACTATGGTATTTCCTCCGTTCCAAATTATAAGACGCTTTGGCTTTTCTACATTCATAACTTTTGCTATGCACCTAGATACATATTATGTCTACATACATAATAAAAGCTATGAATCTAGAAATGCCAAAACGTCTTATAATTTGGGACGGAGGAAGTACGTATCAACTTGAATGAAGCTTATGGTACACCAATGCAAGTTTGGACATAGAGAAAACCAAAAATATGGCACGCAAGTCAAAAAGGACATCCCAACCTGAATGGATAGAGATTAGGATCTCATAACATGAGGACAACTAAAAAAACGTGATGCACTTGAACTCTTTGAAACCAAATGAGTAAACACAACATACCATAAACTCACTCTCGAACAGCTTACTGATATCCACTGAAGAACAGAAGTAGCAGGCGAAGAAATATTCAGCAAAGGCAAGTAGGACATACTATATAAAACTAGATCCGACAAGAAGAGAAGATAATTACTCGGTTACTCCACTCATGTTCATCAGTGAGAAATGCAAGTAGGACAAACTATATATAAACTAGATACGTGAGGAAGAGAAGATAATTACTCATGTTCAGTTAGTTGATTTGATCATGGGGGGTAAAAAATGCAGATTGATATGGGCATGTGCAGACAAGGGTAACATACATGTCACGTTAAGCCAACCATGGGAATCACAAGCTGTGAAGTCTCACAGCCCGAGGCACCACCTGAGTCCAAACTGAAGATAAAATATGCAATTTGACTCTCTTTTTTTAACCTTACTATGAAAAAAAACTATATACACAATTATCATGCTGTGTTCAGATACGGAGCAGTGCTACAACAAAAGAAAAATGAAGAAAAGAAGAGCTCAGCTAAGAGATTCTTCCAATCCACCATGAATGGAAAGAAATCTGCTTAATTTACAAGACACGCCCGAAATTTCAGACGCATGTCGATCCCATCTGAACCAGCCCCCAAATCTCTAGCTTCCGTGGGAAAGCAAAAGCTTTCTTCTCCCCTCCCGCTCTGACGGTCGCAAAAGTGCAAAACAGCCGCATTGGAGGAAAGAAGACGAGCAGAGTAGCAGCTGGAGCTGGGAAAAAAAGCAAGATTCGAGCAAGGAGCACGCCATTACACAATCGAGGGAAAGGAAAGTTTCGTTCCGCGTCTAGCACTCTAAGCTAGCAGAGCGCTAAGAACATGGAAAGAAACCCCGGAAGCTATGAGCGATCTCCATCCCACCCCAAGAAACCCCCACCAATTAAGAACCCTAAAGTGTGCCCCCAAGAACGCGCAGCAAAGGAGCAAATCGCCAATGCACCCATCCGAGATTCACTAGTGAGATCGATTACTCTACCCGACCGATCGATGGATCCTTGCGGAGAACAGGAGCGGAGAAGAACAGAGCAGCACCAGCACAGGGGTAGAGCTGGAGCCGACGCGATTGGGGTTTTGGTTCTCGTCCGCCGCGGGCCGTGGGCGTATGCGTGTATATATGGACGCGTGGCACTCCAGCAAAGCCCGCCCTCGCGAGGCCCTGACAGTCACCGTGTCTGGTGGCAGTGGCAGAGTCCGCGCCGGCTCCGCCACTTGCCCTCTACACGGATGGTTTTTGCGGGTGGCCCAACCAAAGTTTCAATTCATGGATGGATGAAAATCAGGGCTCACTGCCATGTGGGTCTCATGTTCAATGCAATTGCTGAGACCTGATCAATCAAAAATACTTTTCAACAGGGACAAAGCAACGATATGTACTCCTCGAGATTTTCAGCCTCAAGCCCGTACATGGAAACTGACTAATCACCATTTTCATTTTCATCTGAAAAAAAAAAAAAAAGAGAAAGGCATATTAATGCACCAAACTTGGGGACTGTTTGATCCTATGGTCTAATGCTTAGGCCCTGTATGGATCATTCTATCTAAACTTTAAAGCTTTAAAAACTTTAGAGCACTTTAGTTTAGTTTTGAAGTCTAATGCTCTAATATAAGGTGGACTAAAGTTTACAGTTAATTTTAGACCACATGTTTGGAGTTTTAGCTCTAATAAAATTTAGAGAAGAAGTCCCAAACGTGCCCTTAGTCAGTTAAAGTTAAGGACTAAAACTTTAGACCACTTTAACTTGCTTGTATGGTCTAAAATTTTGTGAGATTTGTTAAACTTTAGACAACACTTTAAACCTCTTGTTTGGAGACTCAAGAGATAAAGTGGTAAGCAAGTTTCTGCTTCACCTCTTTTTTTTAACATGTTTTTAGTACTCTATCCCTTCCAAATGGTAAGCTGTTATAACTTTTTAATACATGCACAGTAATAAATCTACCCAGTCGGCACTATGGGAGTCTAGAGAAGGAGTTGTGCAGGAAACCAATTAGACCCTATTATACTCCATCTGTCTCTGAATAAATATATTCCTAGAATTATCTTAAGTCAAAATTTTTAAACTTTGATAGAATTTCTAGAAAAAAGCGTTAAGATTTATGGTGTTAGATTAGTATCATTAGATTTTTCATACAATGTATTTTCATAAGGTGCTCGTTTTATGTCATAGATGTTGTTACTCTTTTAAAAAAGTTTGACTGGCACGGATTCTATGAATTGATTTATTTGGGAGATAGTATATAGAAATGAAGGGCTTCTTTTTTTCTCCTTTTTCATTAAAAATTGTCGGAACAAATTTAGGTAACAATATTTTTTTACTATTATTCTTTCGTGGTGATATATCTCGAAGACCTTTTTTTTTTCTTCTACAAAGAAATAAACTTATGGTAACCTGAAGAAAACCTAATATTCCGTGGTGATATATTTCGAAGACCCTTTTTCTTCTTTGATTCGAAGAAGTAAATTTGTGGTAACCTCAAGAAAACCAGTTTGGTAAGTATGGCGAGCAACCAGCCACCGGTCCTTGTGTGCTTCCGACGTTACTTCCATCTCATCGCTCGCCACCATCGCCATGTGCACATCTTTCGACGAGTGCACGTTAGCCCAAGAATTTACTCACAAGTAGCAATAGCAATGGAGGACGACGACCTGGCAAGAGGATTTCCATTTCCGTCGATTTCTTGGCGACGAAGACGGAGCAGACACTCACAGCAGAGCAACCCCACCCATGTTGCCCTTGCCTGCCTTGCGCAAACATGGCCGAGCCGAGCGTCGCTGAAACCGTGCTGCACTTGGATCTCAACGAGTGCAAGTTTCTGGATATCTGCCATTCCGGATACACGAGAGATGCCGTCGATGAATTGCCCATGAATTCGAGGCTTCAGATTTGTGGCTACGTCGAGATCACATATATGACTCATCAATGGTCGAAACTCGAAAGAATAATGATTCCTCTTTTGTTTTGCTTCGAACGGCAGGGATCGAAGCATTTCTCTTCATCAGACCTAACACGAGCAACTATCTATCGCCAAGGTTCACGATGCACCACAGGCTGCAAGGACGTTCCACCTAAGCCTACCTTACTTGACTGGGACAAAAAGATATAGCAACGGTCCATCAGCATTCATTCAGTTAAAACCTCTGAGCGAAACATCCATCCACCAAGGAAACTCCGATACCTACACCTCCTTTTTCGCCTATATCCTTTCCTTTGTGCACATGTCAATCTACAACACACATCAATTACGGTCCGACTTCAACGCCCCAATGCAATGCACGGCCCGAACCAGTCACCCCCAACAAACCCAGGTTTCATCCACCGCACCTACTACTCCACGGGGCCGTGCCTTCAACCAGCAGAAAACCTCAGCCATGTGCCTCCTCCAACTCCATTCATTTCACGTTCGGCTTTGGCGAGTAGCGGAACGGGGAGGCACGGGGGCCATCGGAGAGGCTCCTCACGGGCGGCTGCCCGTTCCGCCCGAACGGGCTCTGCGTCTTGAAGCCGTGGCTGCTCCTCCCGTTCATGCTGTTCGAGTGCGCCATCCGCTCAGCTTGCATCGTCTGGTAGAAGTAGGAGGCGCTCGCCATGTCCTTGAGGTTCTGCAGCGGCTTGAGGACTTCCACCACCTGGCTCATCAAGGGCCGGGCCTTGGGGTCCCGGCTGAGGCAGGCGCGTGCTAGCTGTGCCGCCTTCTGGGCACCTTTCACTGAGAAGTTGCCCTCCAGGCGAGGGTCAATTAGCTTGTAAAAGCGCTGCCTCTCTCCTAGGAGGGGGCGCGCCCATTCCACGAGGTTGTGCTCTCCGTTAGGGCGATTCTTGTCCATTGACCTGCGCCCTGACATCATCTCAAGAAGCACAACCCCGAAGCTGTAGACATCGCTCTTTGATGTCAGATGACCTGAGAAGTGGGGCAGAAAGACAAAAATGCACATCAAGGAAAGACAGGTGTGTAAACAGTAGAGTTAAAGGGTGTTTAAATCTTAAGAGAACAAGGTAGTCAAATTATTCCCTTCAACATTGTGAAGGCAATGCAAATCTAGGCAAACACTATATCCAAAAAACAAACAAACTAGGTAAACATAATGATTTTTCTTAGGAAATGTTGATTGCTGGGTCAACTCACTGAGAATATCTACATTCTACATGAACTACCATGCCCATTTCCACAGTTTAGCTGATAGACATTTTTAATTTGCCCCTGCCTGTGTTTTTTTAAGTTTTCACTACATATAAAGGTCTTGTAAAACAAAGACACATGTAAAGTTGCAAACATTGTAACAAGTGCTCCGCACGCTCCTGTGTACATTAGCATTGTATGGTTCTGAACAAACCCTTTTGCCCATCTTAGGTAGATATGGTAAACATCATTACCCCAGTACAAACATACCACTAATGGAAACTTAGCATATTATCCGAACAAGTACGCATGTAGCCTAAAGCATTACAATGTCTCCCAACAAGCATAACTTCCAACCTTAAATTTCTCCATAGAAGCATCAAGTGATGGATAACTGATTATCTCAGCATACTTAAACATTGACTTTAATACACAACAAGCAGATAAGCTGAATCTAGTGAATGGGTTTGTTGCTCACTGGTAGCACTGGCAGTGGCCAGACTGCTAACCAGAGTTTGATGGCCACTCAGGTGTTGCAGCAGTGCAGGTCCAGGGAAATATTTCATTGCCTCTTGACTGTGATGCCATGAGAATGTAATGTGACCTATGGAGACTTGGTTCGTACTGTCAACCTCTCTAGGGAAGTGATCTTCCTTGCTGACGGTAGATCTAGACTTCTAGGTGTGTGTGTGGCTGGCGCTGGGGGGGGGGGGTATTACATACATGAACAGATGCTACAGCTGTACTCTGAAAGAGAGGTGTAAGAAAAAAAAAAGGTAGGCCAAATCTGACGACGTGCTTACCAGTCATGACATATTCTGGTGCTGCATATCCATAGGTTCCCATCACTCGAGTAGAGACATGAGTTTTATCACCTACAGGTCCATCTTTCGCAAGCCCAAAATCAGAGAGCTTTGCATTATACTCCTGCACAAGCAATATAACATATGATGCAACAGTATGTAAATCATGAGGCACACACTGCATAATCCTATTCATTAACTTACCGCATCCAGCAGTATATTAGATGTTTTAAAATCACGATAAATGACTGGCCTTTCTGCTTCTCCATGAAGGAAAGCCAGACCCTTTGCTGCTCCGAGTGCAACCTTCATTCTGATAGCCCATGGGAGAGGAAGAGACCCTACAGTAGAAAGCATGATGGTTTACTTAAGATTCAACATTTCCATGATACTATTTAAAGGCTGTCTAAGCTACACAAATAAATACAGCAGAACGACATGCGCCCTCATATGATACATGATTATTTGCTTAAGAAAAAAAGGTGAATCCTAAAGAGAAGTTAATGCTCTAATCGCTAAGGAATAGGCCAGATACATACTTCTAAAAAGATGGTTATCCAAACTGCCACGAGGCATGAATTCATACACCAGCAACCTTTGGTCATCTTCAACACAATATCCAATCAACCTGACCAAATTGGGATGGTGAAGATTTCCAAGAAAATCAACTTCAGCCTAGAAAAGATCAATTAAAACAGAGTATCAGACACAGTCATCATGAATTGAAACCAAAAATATGTAAACAAGATGATATGTGAACTTGGAAATAGGTAAAACATAGCACATACCACCCATTCTTTATGCCCTTGAAGCCCGTCATGGTTTAGCGTCTTGACAGCAACTGTGAGACCTGTACCAGGTTTCACGGGCGCAGTTCCGTTCTCTTCGATCCACCCTTTAAAAACACATCCAAAACCCCCTTCCCCAAGGAGACTTTCAGGCCTGAAGTTCCGGGTAGCACATTTTAGATCATTGAATGCAAACTTGCGCAGCTGGGAGGCAACTTTTATCTCTTCTCCGACTTTAGATGCGGATGAACTGCTTTCAGCGTTACTAGTAGTTGTAGAACCTGAGACTACCAATGCGACCGGTTGATTCCTGCTACCATTTTCTGTTGACTTCTCTGCTGTTACATGAAATTATAACAGTTTAGTATGCCGAGTTTTCCGAAAATATGATCTGAACAAAGAAAAGCAAAATCTCCATCTGCACAGTTTGAGTATGACTTTATGCAAGTTTTATCCTGCTTCCTTGAAAGCATTTGACAACGATCACTGAAGTACATATGAAGTCCACACAGTGTCTTGCTGAAAACCAAACAAAATATAAAAAAGGATATCACATGAACGTCACACAACCGGACAGCCCATGCTAATAATGACTTACGTAGCACCCAATAAATGCAGTAGATCATCACGCTAAAGATAGTATCAGTTAATGTACCAACTTACAGGAGGTGCACGAATTCATTATTTTCATTTAATTCCCTTTTGTAAATACAAAAATGAGCACTTCATGTTCCTACTAAAGGTATCAAAATGCTAACTGGCATCATTTCATCACATATCTTTCGTATTTTCAGGTTTGTTAGTCATTTAGTTCCAGTTATGAAAAGGCATTTCAACTCGTACTAGAATAAATTAATTGCTAACTGGACTCCATAGAAATATAAACCCTTCTCTGTTTATTTCTATGCTATTTTAGTTTCTTTTTCATGCATACAATTGCCGCGCAATCTATTTCGCAGATGGTGACAAACCTTCTATAGGTGAGTTTGTCTTTGAAGTGATCTTTTTTAGTATTTTTCTTATTCTACTTTGGGAAATATTAACCAACCCAATATGACCTTTTGCTCATTAGCATAACACTTATGTAGGCCCATAATACCTAAGTTAGTAGGCTCCATGGCATAGCATAGTACAGCACATCAATTCACAAACTGGGCTTATATGTATATATGAGGTACAGTACCATACTGAGCATAACAAACAGTAAATAGCAACAAAACTGTAGCCACATGTCTTGATAAACAAGCTAATACCCGCAGTCCTCATGAATTTTACTATATTCATTTGACAGAGCCACAACGATTTCAAACATCACCGCTGCTGCTGACAGTACAGCATCAAAATCAGAGTCAGGTGTATGAGTCCAACACAAAAAGGGCAGACCCAGTGCCGGAGGCTCCCACATGAGTGGGGTTTGGGGAAGGGATAAACCGAGAAAGCCTTTCCCCCGCAAAATCTACGGAGAGGCTGCTTCAAACCCACGACCTGGTGACTCAGTGAGACAGCTCTCACCACTGCACCAGGCCTGCCCTTCAGTCCAACACACCAACAACTATTTGCAATGGAGAAGGCAATAACATTCTTTCCCGCGCACAGTAACTCCAAGTTCGCTATACGTCTAGTGCGAACAGTATTGAGCCAAAAACTGACACATGCTAATGCTATTCTAAAAATAGATACTCAGGAAACCATTAATGACTCTGGTCCACTCACACTTGGTCCTCCAGAACCCTAACTATCATAACTGCTGCTCAGCAAGAAAGATGCTTGCTCTACAGGATTTGCCGACAGATTGGTGATCCTTATGTTCTGTATACGCTGAAGGCAATCATTACCAGTTCATCCACAAATTCAATGCTCAATACAAGGATATAACCGAAAGAGTTGTCGCTCCCAGGTGCAGCCTCACATTATCTCCCTCAAACACCAGCATACTATAACTACCGAGAACTGCACACGTCCTGAGCATTTACAGTCAATCAGCTGCGAGCTCAACATCAGGTGACAAAGTGCGACGTCCGTCCCATCATTACCCCAGAACGAAATCACGGCTTACAGTACGGCGTCGCAATTATGGTCACTTACACTCGCAAATCCCATCTACCACGCGAGCAAAGACAGCGAAGAAAGCACATTGCGAGTGGGTGGGTATCCAGGTGACGGGAGAGAAAGAGACGTTTACCGCCGTGCGTGCTGGCGCTGCTGGTGGAGGTGTCGACCTTGGACCTCGGCGGCGGCGGCGGCGGCTGCGGCGGGCACGCCCCGACGGGCCAGAGGCGGATGCAGCAGCCGGTGGCGACCGCGGCGTCGTCGTCGCCGGCGCCCTTGGGGGCCGCCGCGCGGCGCCTGCTGCTGCCACGGCGGCTGCGGCGGCACCAGCCCCAGCGCTCCCGCTCCCGCTCCTCCTCCCCTGAGCTCTCCCACCCGTCGAACTGGCCCAGCTCCGGCGGCGCGAGCCCCATGAGACGAGGGACTTCACTTACCTCCTCCGCCTCCTCCTAAGCGGAACCTTGCAATGGGCCCCGGCACCACCTCTCCGGGCGGCGAGAGGACCAGATCGGCTCCGGACGACCTCCGCCTCCCGCGCTCACCAGCACCAAGCGGCCCGCCCGCTAGCCGCCGGGGAAGAGAAGAAGAAAAAAAACTCACTGGTTCCCGCACCGAGATCCAGCCTCCCCGCCGAATCGGGCCGAATCACAGCAGGCCGCGGGCGCCGGCCGCGCGATCCCGCCGTATCGGGTGCGACGAGGAGCACCTCGCGGAGCCCAGCACAGGACCAGGTGCGCGCGCGAGCCCAGCAGCCCGGGACGCCGCCGCCGCCGAGCAGGAGCGAAGCCGAGCCGAGCGCCTCCCGGGGAAGGACGACTGCCGCCGTGGGACTGACCCTTCTCCGGAGGCGGCGGCTGCGGCGGTGTGGAAGGGAGGGGGTGAGTGGGGTGGGGAATAAGCGAAGCGAAGGGGAAGGAATAATGGATTGTGTCAATAAGCAAAGGAAAGGAAAGGAAACGAAGAGAAGGCGGAGGAGAGAGAAAGTAGAGATGGATTGGGGAGTGAGAGAGACAGGGCGAGCAAGCGCAAGGGCCGCAGCGGACAGCACAAATGTTCCTCGCCTCCTTTTTATTTTTCTTCCTTCTTTCGGAAGCACGTGGCCGACGTGGCAGACCTTTTTCCGCGTGCGGCGGCACTGGCTCCGTGGGCCCGCGCCGGGCTGACGGGCGCAACCGCACAGCGTTGACGCGGTCAGCGCGGCCTCGGGCGCCCGATGATGGCGTTGCCCTACGAATAGAATAGGCAAAATAGTCGTTGCGTAGTAGTGGAAGTTTTAAAATACTAGTTTTAGTCTTTAAACTCTATTTTTATGCTTAATTTTATTTTATAACCGTAAAGATAATCATTTCAGTCCTCCAACTTTGTATTTTAAGCTCAATTTCATCCTTAAACTACCAAAGTGCATTTTAGTCTTTAAACTTTTATTTTTCAACTCAATTTTGTCTATCGAAGAAGAAAACTTTATATTTTAGATATAGTTTCATCCATGAATTATCAAAATGCATTTTGGCACAACTTGGTCCTTTGTCCAGCATCACCCGCGATTTGAGATGGACAGTCATCGTTAGGTACTATTGTCCCTAGTGTCATCCTAGCTATCAAATCAGATAGCACACTTTCAACATTTGTATTCATACTCTAAGATGAATATAAATATAGATCTAAATATTCTTAAATATGATTTTTGAGCCAATGGATAAAAACATTATTTTATACACAAACGATTATTAGTTGAGCCTACCGTTAGAAGTAGCTAAGGAAAAAAATAAAAGATATACTATTGTTTCAATATATTCATGTATTCTCAAGAAAAATAGCATTTGAAGCAACTGTAATTGCTCCCACAAAAATCATTTATAGTCGGTGAAAGGTTCTAATGGCTAAAGGAAAGTGAATAGACTATTAAAAATTTCTACAACAACACTAAGACAAATGATTAGTCAATAAGATGACGAAGCGAATTTTGACTAGCAGTATACTTGGGGTTGCAAGCCATCTACCCAATTCAATTTTCTATGATCTCTAGTATATCACAGCAAAGCTATGTCACTAATATACACCTAGGTGATCAATCTAGTGAGAGTAATACAATTAAATGATACACTATCTAGTCTTAACTACCACTAGCTCTATTCAAGTGAATGCATAATGAAATACAAGAGAGTGGTAGAGAGGTATATCGCCGTTGCAAGTGACTAATGAGTGAATTCCAATGAATACCAAGGAGACAATCAAAACACAATGATTTTTTCTTCGAGGTTCATTTGCTTACCGGCAAACTAGTCCCCATTGTGGCGATTCACTCACTTGGAGGTTCACTCGGTAATTGGCATCACACGCCAAACCCTCAATAGGGTGCCGCACAACCAACACAAGATGAAGATCATACAAGCCACGAGTAATTTACTAGAGTACCTTTTCAACGGGGAAGATTAAGAATCCCTCACAATCACCACGATTGGAGCCAGAAACAATCACCAACCTCCGCTCGACGATCCTAGCTGCTCCAAGTCGTCTAGGTGACGGCAACCACCAAAAGTAACAAGCCAAACCCGCAGCGAAACACGAATACCAAGTGCCTCTAGATGTAAACGCTCAAGCAATGCACCTGGATTCTCTCCCAATCTCACAAAGATGATGAATTAAAAATGAAGATGAGTGAGAAGGCTTTGACTAAGCTCACAATGTTGATATATCAATACAAATGACCAAGAGAGTGAGTTAGAGCCGGCCAAACGATATTTATAGACACCCCTAAACAAATAGAGCCGTTGGTTTAATTATTGGACTGACTGCGGGACGACCGGACACATAGGTCGTGTGCACCGGGCGCGTCCGGTCGCTGCGTCCGGTCGTAGCCTGACCGCCACGTGTCCCTTTTAAATTGTTTAGCCATTGGCACCCAATGGTTATCTCTGCACATAGTAATACTATGTGATCGGACGCGCTGTTAGAAAACGACCAGACCCGAAAGACACAGCGTTAGGTCGAGTTTAGAGAGCTCCTAGAGCTGCTATGGGACGACCGGACACGTCCGATCACACCGGACTAGACACTCCTAGCGTTCGATGAATTATTGCACTGAAAACCCGAGACTTGCTGGTTCACACTGAACACGTCCGTTGTGGCGACCGGACGCCCCGGTTGCTCTCTGCAATCCTACATCGGGCTATATCAATTTGACCTGACGCTGAACAGTAACTCATCAGCGTCCGATCACTCCACTGAGCCAGAGTCCGGTCACTTTCACTTAGTCGCTCACCTCAGGTCCAAATATCGGACGCTTTCGGTCCTGATTCCGGACGTGTCCGGTCACTTCTGTCAGACTACCCCAAGACTGGATAAAATACCGGACGCATCCGGTCCCAATTTTGGACGTGTCCGGTCACTCTGTGACTAGCGCGACTAACTTCTTTTCAACTCTATCTTCTTTACCCTTACTCAAATGTGTCAACCACCAAGTGTATCACCTTGTGCGCATATGTTAGCATATTTTCACAAAATGTTTTCAAGGGTGTTAGCACTCCACTAGATTCTAAATGCATATGCAATGCGTTAGAGCATCTAGTGGCACTTTGATAACTGAATTTCGATACGAGTTTCACCCCTCTTAATAGTACGGCTCTCGATCCTAAATGTGACCACACTCACTAAGTGTCTCGATCATCAAAACGAAAAAGCTCCTATCAAGTTTCATCTTTGCCTTAAGCTTTTTGTTTTTCTCTTTCTTCTTTTCCAAGTCCAAGCATTTGATCATCACCATGCCCATCATCATGATTTTCACCATTGCTTCATCACTTGGAGTAGTGCTACCTATCTTATAATCACTTTGATAAACTAGGTTAGCACTTAGGGTTTCATTAATTCACCAAAACCGAACTAGAGTTTTCAGTCAAATATATATAAACGGTACTATATAAGTTAACATTAAAAATAACAGCTTGAATTGTTAATGGCCATTAAAATGTTTTTGGATGATATTATTTTTCTATCTCCAATCGCTCATGGTGTTGAAGCTGACCAGGTGCAACAGCACCGTGTTCTACATAGAATGATAAACAAAGTTGAGTTTGAAAATAAATGTTTAAAGACCGAAAAAATGCAAAGGTTGAGGACTGAAATGATCATCTTCATAGTTTTAGGATGAAATTAAGCCTAAAATGCAAAGTTTAAGGACTGAACGATCATCTTCATAGTTCTAGGATGAAATTGAGCCTAAAAGTAGAGTTTGATGAGTAAAGCGGCCGTTTTGAAAGTTCAGATATGAAACTAAGCCTTAAGTAGTAGTTTAGGAACCAAAATGACTATTATGCCAATAGAATATGATGATGCAGAGGCAGTGGAACCTTGTGAAGAACCTTAGACGCTAGCTAAGAAATCTACTTCGTTGGAAAATCTATTTTTTGGCTAACAAATCCAGTTTGTAGAAACTCTAGCTCCTGGAAGTAAGAACATATTCTTGTCGTTCGCCACACAACAAGGATGCCACGTTATTTGGAACGTGCGATTGTTGAGTAACCGATAATGAAAGTTCATTCATTATTGGCTCATTGAATAGTAACTTGTTAGGCATCCAATTTTAGTTAAGACTCTAGTTGTTAGAAAAAACCAATTTTGACTAAGAAATCTAGTCTGCCAAAACTCTAGTTTCTGGAACTAAGAATATATTCTTGTCGTAAGCCATGCGACAAGGATGACATGTCATTTATAATGCGCAATTGTTGAGTAACTAATAACAGAAGTTTATTCATTACAAGCTCATTGAAATGGTAACTAGTTAGAAATATTCAATCTTAGCTAGGATATCTGGTTCGTCCGAAAATCCAATTTTCGCTAAGAAATCCAGTTTGTCGGAAACTCTAATTTCTGGAACTAAGAACTATTCTTGTCAAGCCATGCGACAAGGATGCCATGTCATTTGTAACACACGATTGCTAGGTAATCGATAATGGAAGTTCATTCATTATAGGCTCATTGAAATAGTAACTTGTTACTCATCTAATTTTAGTTAAGAAATCTAGTTTGTTAGAATAAACAATTTTGGCCAAGAATTCTTTTTAGCGGGTGAAAGGATCAAGATGCCCAAGAGGGGGTGAATTGAGCTAATTCTAAATTTTCTTACAATAATTAAATTCTATTGATAGCCCAATTAACCCCTTGTGCCTAGAAAGTGTTTGTAATGTTCTATCGCACAAATAGACTTGCAATCTAAGTTCTAATCCTACTCTAGCATGGCAATTCTAGAAATGTAAATGACAAGAATTGAATTGCTCAAAGTAATGCTTAAAGTAAATGCTCAAAGTAAAGAGAGGAGAGGAAACGCGGCGATGTTTTGCCGAGGTATCGGAAAGTCGCCACTCTCCACTAGTCCTCGTTGGAGCACCCGCGCAAGGGTGTAGCTCCCCCTTGATCC